ATTTATAAAACATGAACCGTTTCAAAACGTTTTTAGAAACTTACAAGAATCTCTTTCATCAACAGAAATTAATACGTATGAATATGCCGATATCAGAAGAAGGAAAAGTTAATTTCACCACTACTCTCTTCGCTTTGATTCGGGAGAATCTTAGTATCAGCATGAGACCAAGTATGTAACCCTAATTACTACGTTCTTCTTCTTGTTCGATGTAGTTATTAGTCGTTAATATATCTTGAAAGTTCAACTAATCCTCGTTCTTAAATAACACAGTTACGTAATATTTTTAATGTCTTTGTTTTAACTAAAGTTTGATGTTTTATATATATCTGTGTTTTAAAGGCCTGTTTGATGTTTTATGTATCTGTGTTTTAATGGCATGTTTGATGTTTTATATATCTGTGTTTTAATGGCATGTTTCTTGTTTTATATCTGTGTTTTAAATGTCTGTTTAATGTTCTGTATGTGTGTTTTAAATGCCTGTTTGATGTTTTATATTTGTGTTTTAAAGGCCTGTTTGATGATCTATATGTGTGTTTTAAATGCCTGTTTGATGTTTTATATTTGTGTTTTAAAGGCCTGTTTGATGTTCTATATCTGTGTTTTAAATGCCTGTTTGATGTTTTATATCTGTGTTTTAAAGGCCTGTTTGATGTTTTATATTTGTGTTTTAAAGGCCTGTTTGATGTTTTATATTTGTGTTTTAAAGGCCTGTTTGATGTTTTATATTTGTGTTTTAAAGGCCTGTTTGATGTTTTATATCTGTGTTTTAAATGCCTGTTTGATGTTTTATATCTGTGTTTTAAATGCCTGTTTGATGTTTTATTAGATGTTTCATTAGACTAAGTCTCAGGTTGTATAAAACCATTAAACAATAAATTTATTAGACTAAAACTCAGGTTCTATAAAACCATTAAACAATAAATTTATTAGACTAAAACTCAGGTTCTGTAAAAACTATTAAACAATAAATGTATTAGACTAAACTTCAGGTTCTGTAAAAACTATTAAACAATAAGTTTATTAGACTAAGTCTCAGGTTCTATAAAACCATTAAACAATAAATTTATTAGACTAAAACTCAGGTTCTGTAAAAAACTATTAAACAATAAATTTATTAGACTAAAACTCAGGTTCTGTAAAAACTATTAAACAATAAATTTATTAGACTAAGTCTCAGGTTCTGTAAGACCATTAAACAATAAATTTATTAGACTAAAACTCAGGTTCTGTAAAACCAAAACACGCTGTTGAAGTTGACTTG